AAAAAAAAAAAACACAATAAGAAGGTAGCGCATGTCGAAATTATAATTTGTATAATCGTATTATAACAGTAGCTACTTTTTTATTCCAAGATATTACACATAAGATCCTAAGATTGTTTAGAACATTTGCATTCTCAATCATTGTTTATAATAAAAAGATTGTATGCAATATTTTTTTTGGCTTCACCCTTATAATTAACATTTTATTAGTTAGAATCTTTTCATGTTTTGTACTTCATAAAAAAAATCAACAAATCGATAAGTTTTAAACTTAAATTATATAACAATAAACATCAATTTTTTTTTATGCAAGACAATGGTTTTAAAAAAAAATTGATTTAGAGCCTTTTCATTTTGAGACGATGTAATCTATTTTATTTTTATGGATTGTAATTTAGTAATTTACTGTGTATAGGTGTACAGGTAAGTATTATTGTATATACTTAAAGGCGTAGCTATTAATGGTTTAAAATTGGTATATTAGTTACCATTTTTTATTAGTACTAAACTAAATGACAGGAATTATATATTATACGCTGCTTTAATGAGGTGATATTTTCTTCAATACTGAATGTTACTTGTTTACTAGCTGTATTTTTGTTTTAATTCTACTAAACAGTAAATAGTAGGTATACACGAAAGGTTTATATAGTTTCATAGGTTAAATGAAATCTTTGTTTTCTGTTTTTTGAAATCATTAACACATCAAATGTATATATGAAAGCATTTTATATATTTGACAACTTATTGTAAAGACAATAGACAATATTACCTGCTGTACATTACAAATAATAAAATATGTTTCTTTTAAAAAGGAAAAGAAATAAATCACAGAGATAATACAAAAACAACGTAAAAAAAACTTTCTTATAGTATAGCACTATAATATTATAGTTAGTAAATACACAAATACAATGTTATGATAATAATTATTCCTTATTCTGTATTGTTTGAATTGTTACATAAATAATCATCAACAGTTTTCTTGACAAACATAGTAATATTATTATATGGTATTTATACAGAAGATATTGTCAACAAATTATACATTCAGTCACACACATTATTTTACATAATAATAACATTGAATTATAAATAAGTGTAATAGTAGTATATAGGTAATGTTTTGGTACCAAACTATGAACGACGTAACTATATGGACCACATATATACGATTTATGATAGTTATTATTAGCAATGATAAAAAATATAACTTGTTATTATAGTATAAAATAATATTATGTTATGCGAAATGCCGGAATCGAATCGTGTCGGAACAAATAACCGATTGTTGGTAGTGATGCGCGGAACTTAATAAACATGAAAGTATAATAATTTATAGTTACGAAACTAAGACTTGTTTCATTCGCGTACATGTTCAAACGCAACTACAAGATCGTGGCATTATGTCAGTGGTCGCAGGGGTGGGAAGGTTAAGGACTAAATTATCTCTGGAGTTAAAACCAAAAAAAAAAAAAATAAAATACAATTAAATTATTTACCTACCTATCTTTGCGTTTCACGATAATACACTACGCTCGGGATTTTGACCCGAACGGAGTAAGTTATCGTGAGACGAATTCCAACAGTATTACACAAAGCTTTCAATATGTTTTTTCACAGGAGGGTCTAATGATTTTTGTATGAAAAAAATAATATAGGCTGTTCATAAGTAGTTGTAATGATAAAAAAAAAAATGGTATAAATAATATTATGAGATATCGTAAGACTAACCGAACGGAGACGATAAACTGATAGTTAATGAAGTGATCTAATGATTTTAGTGGTGAGAGCGCGGGCTGATTAGTCACTGTTTCGTCGAAGAAAATTCCCTGCAAAAGTGTTTATTCGTTTATTTCCTATGGTATCATAATATTATGAAGGTACTGCGTACAAAGGGCGATACTTAATCGGTCAACTCACGATCGATTTCCCAGGTCAATATAATATTGTATGTTATACCTATTTCCTTGGGACTAGCGTTTCTAAGCGTGCGTATATGTGATGAAATATTAAAATCGAAATATGGTTTCATGAACGGTAACTACGACGACGAATCACAATATATGTAATATATACGATTGTAACAACCACACTGCAGCAGTAATGTGGCGAAAGGTTTTTTTCTATTTTAAAATAGTGTATTAATGTCGGTGATTATAAAGTCAATCTAAAATTAGCGACTTTGTGAGTTTGGCGATATTCTAAATCCTTAGTCCTTATTCAAAAAGAAAAAAAATGGTTGGCTGCGCCACTGAAACGCAGTATTCCTGTATAATAGTTTAAAAAGTGATATTACTGTTATTATTTTTATCATAATAATCCGTTCGCGGTTCACTGATGATTATGTGATAAAGAACTCGAAACGGAATACATATACTATACAAAATTATTATTGTAGATTTCGGCTTTTCACATTATTATATCATACAGTCATAATTATATTATCGTTATGCTTTTTTTGTTATCATCATTCGAGTAGGTACTGTTGGCAATTTATGTTTTCTGCGTATATTTTATAAGTAATAATACAATATTATAATATTTCATGGTCTATAACAAAAAAAATAATAATAATAATCTATACGCGATACATAATTATAATGAATACGATAGCTCTATATTAATCCAGACAATTTTCAATATTTAGAACATAGATACTTTCTGCAAAATGTAATGATTTCGTTATTTTGATGGAGTTTGAGGGTGTGTAGAAGTATATTTTTTCATGTCGTCCGTTTTGAGCAAATTACATAAACGAAAATCATTATATATTTTGTATAATATCCAAAAAAAAATAAAAAAAAAAAAAAATACAAAACCGTTTTAATTTGGAAATGTTTAATACGCAGTTACAACGCGTATCCGTAATGTCGTTATAGATCAATGATTTAAAATTGGCTTTTAAGAGTTTAATGAGGACGAAAATAATGTCAATTGTTTATTTTTTTAATGTGAATCAATAACTACCACGACAGTCTGAAAAAAAAATTCGTTTACGAATAAAACGTATTAATTAAATACTTTAAATAAAATAAATTCCAAAACAAATGCAATTGAAAACTGTGATAGGATTTTTTCTTTAAAGCGCTGAACATATTTTTTATTACAATGCGGACTTTTATATCACTCATATTTTTTAAATTATTAAAATATTTAGTTCACACATTACGTGAGCATATCTCGTATATTCTCTCATTTGCAAATGACAGTTTCTTATTTTATTACAAACAACCTTTTTAATAAGACCAACTATTATAATATGTACCGCAAACTATAAGTACCTATATACTTCCATATTTTTACTATATATAGTATATATATATATTGTTTAATATAAACTTAAAAATTATATATTTTTTTTTTTAAATTCACAAATAGAAGCATTAAAAGCAGTTTACATCAATAGTTCAACGATAGTTTCTGATAAATAAAACAACAAAAAAAAAAAAAACTAAAATCCACAGTAAATTAGTTATAATTATAAATTCATCTTTCAAAATAAGATAATAAAACAATACATATTATAAAGAACATTTTATATAAACAACCTCTTATTTTCTCATGAATGTTTTCTTTAATAGACGAGTAATAATATTATTAATATGTTAATAGTGTGATTTTGACATGTTACTTACTATAGTCTATTTCTATAAATACTACATTTCAGTGACCCTGAGCTTCTATACATTTTAGTAATATTATTTATATATATATATATATATATATATATGTATATATAAATATCATATTTTTAAAGGTTATAATATTATATGAGTCACACTTTTATTATAAAACTTATTTTTAATTTATCTTACACAATAATTAATATAGTACGTGTTTATGAAAATAATATCAATCAATTAATATATTATAGGACTAATGATAACGTTAAATGACTAGATACTATAATATTATTATAATTGGATTACACGAAAATCAAACAACGACGTATGTACTTAACTGCACTGTATAATATGATAAAATAACTAAACGTAATAGTAACGTACGTATTAGTATAGTAATTATATGGTAGTGGTTGATAGTTATAGTAATAGTAGTGGTAAATAGTTAAAGTAATAGTAGCGGTGGTAGTTATTTAATAGTAGTATTGAATATTGATAGTACGAGTATCATAGTCGTTAATCAATAATAATTGTTGTATTTAAAAGTAAACATTGAAAATTATGATTCGTGTAAAATATTATAAAAAATGACAAATAGAGTATCGGAACGAAAGAAAAAAATAATAGTAAATCCATTTGGGCGAATAAAAATATCCAATTTATTTTGCCAAGCTATTTTTATGTTTACGTACGTTCAATGCGCGTACGTGTGATATATCGATTTTAGCACCATAAATACGATTTATACATGAAACATTATATCATTAAGTAAGTATACACTATAATATTGTATTTTAGTTATGCGTTAAAATACAAATAACTGATAAACGTAATAATAACATATTAATACGATACGTTTTAACATAATAAACGTTAAAATAAAACATTTAGAGCAAATCGTAAGAAAAAAAAATATATTTTATATTTTATATACTATCACGGCGCACAGTGTTCGTATTGAAAACCACCGTCTCAAAAAAGATATGAAGAAACGTCTTAATGTTAACAATTGAAAACATGATATCGTAATTTAATACCATTGTAATATCGTCTTCCCTTAATGTTATGTATTATATTATTATATTGATAATCGTTGGTATATTTCCAACCCGTTTACAATAACATACATTATACATATATTATTAAAACGACACGAGTTTTTTATACAGTTATCAAAATATTATAAAGTATACGATGTACTCATACGATTCACACACACACACACACACACACACATAATACATATATATATATATATATGTATATTCAAAAGTAAATATTATCGTTCCTAATAATATTTTAGTCTTTCGATTTATACTAAAAAAAAAAAAAAATTGACAATTTTCTTTATATTTTTAAGAGTATAATAATAATAATTTTTTTACGCCAATTTAAGAATAATAGTCTTAATTCTAATCACGATTAATCTGAAAACTACAAAGAATAGTATATCGGTATAATTTAACGGGTTACTCGGGTATATGTTGTAATAACGAAGTTTATCGATAAATCGTATGAACGGAGGACGTCAATCTGTATTTTGATTTTAATGCGTTATGACATAATTATGTACACAACGCTGTAAACTTTACAAAACACTAATAAATTTAGTGACGAATAACTACATGTTCTTGTATGTTATTACATGTTATGTACGGATACTATTGTGTATTATAATTGGTTCGCTATAAATTACTGTACACTATATTATAATAATATAATATACCTATGACGACAACTATACGATCGGTCGATTCTACTTAACACCTATGAAAAATGTATTTTATTTTTTACCACTAGATATGTTATACACACGTTAATCATAATATTTTTACGGTGATCGCCGGCTGTACACAAAAAATACAATGCGTGTGTCGATCACCGTTCGTAATCTCACTATAATGCCTAGTCAATATGCCTGGAAGCGATATTTCGTATGATAATGCTAAAAATTAAACGTAATACTTAGGTTATTCAAAAACTCGGTAAAAATGATATTTACACTTTATAACAAAATATTACATGTACAATAATAATTTATAATATACGCGTAAAAAAATACATAGGTTAGGTAACGAAATACGAGCCCGGAATTCAAAATATATTATATAGGTACATGTATATAAAATATGTATAGTAGGTATATAGTAAAGCTTTAAACAAACACATTGTTATGATTATATAGGCTTAAATTACATTAAGGGTCACATTCGGGCTTATATCCTAAATTTTTCCGCTGCAAGAATAATTGTATTTCCCGGAAATTCGGACGACTTTTATCGTCTCTCTGCCAACACTCGCACATGAGATCGTAAATGTCTTTCGGGCAATTGATGGGCTGAGGCAATAGGATCTGAAACGAATTAATTAACACAATTAATACACAATAGTTACTAATAATAATATATTCAAGTTGTGATATTGGACAAAACCGTGTATTTTTCGCAAAACCTGTTTTGTATTCAAATAATAATAATCAGCAGTAATCAAAGAATTTATAATAGTTGTTTTAAAAAGCATTATACAGATCAAAGGAATGCGAAGGAATGATTTTAATAAACAAATAACTGAATAGTTATAAAATCATTAAATATTAAAATGTTTTCATAAAAATATCTGTTTACAACAATCCATGTACGCAGGCCAACCGATTAATTAATACCGATTTTGTATGCACATAACTAACGTTTAATAACTATATTTAACTGTACAGAAACTGGGGGTAGTATTTAATACCGTTTTCAAGTAGTCTAGGTACCTGCTGTTTTCTTAGTATTTAATATAATATACATTTATAATAATTGGGCTCTTTATTAAAAAAAAAAAATAATTGAAAACGCATTTGAAGTGTAAATATTAATCGATTGAGTTTTCAAGTAAAATAAATAAATATTTGTTTGCGAACTATTTTTAAAAGTTAATTTTGTTAAATATATTCATGTATCTACGGGCATATTTTGAAAGAATTTATTTTAATTTTTAATTTGTTTTTAATATTTCATCGAGAAAACTGATAAATGACGTGTTTTTCAAAATTAATGTTATAATTCTTTCGAGAAAAAAAAACAAATTTAAAATATTAAAATACATTCTTTCGAGTTTTTCACATAATATGAGGTAATTTATAGCCCTTTAAGACTTAAAGAGCACAAGTATATGTTTAGTTTTTTTATAAAAATATACTATTATGCATATATATAACAATCTATTTATTTAATGTTTGTGGACAATAGAGGAAAAAAAATAAAATGTTCACACATTATTTTTAAAAATTTAAACATTTATATTTTTCATAGATGACAAATGAAAAAGATGATTTTATTTTGAGTTTTATCACACTGGGCGTGTATTATTGTAATATAATATTTACTTTTAAACTGAATAATAAAAAATACGGTACAGAATTTTCGTTGGATTGTTGTGGGAGTGCGCGAAAAATGACGTTAAGGTAGAAGTTATTTTTTTTTTTTTTAGTTGTCACAGCAGTACAATAGTATGCTGCAGCAGCATTTATAGCGGTGTAAAATATGAAAATGAGAAACCGTATATACCTTTTTCTCCCCTTCCAAACTGAAGTTCAGTAACTTAACGAATTTCGGAGACATGTTTTTTACGTCTTCTGACGGGAAAGTTAATTATATATATTTATTGTACGGGAAAAAGTTGGAAAAATGAAAAAAAAAAAATCTAAAATTAATAAATGAAAATATATTTTAAACCGAAATATATGTGATATTCACTACTAGACTACATATATAAAAGACTTTAATGTCTTATATATTGCGTATAATGACATAAGTACTTAGGTAATGTAAAGAAAAAAAACAGTAACTATGTATATTTTTTTATAAAGACTGATTTCTCAAACACGGTCATTTGTCATTTATCTTCAATGATTCAGTTATTTAAAATATAATTTTCAAAATTTTTAAATGCAGTATGAAATTATAATTTTAAATTTTCATTTTTTTTTTTTTATACTAGGTACTTAAGAAGTGTCTCGTAGAGATCCAAACTTTTGTTCTTTTTTTCAAGTGAGAGTCTCCTTTGTTTTATCATAAATTATTTAGTGGTTATTTTTTTGAACATTTTTTAAAATCAAAATTAAAATTTGAATGAATATTTTTTGAGATATTTAAAATTATGTAATATAGATATAATAAGTTCATGATATATTGGTTATGTGAGATATAAAAGTTATAATGATTTGAAATTTTTAATAATATATATCAATTTATCAATATTTTTAATTTTCTTATAATATTATAAATACAAAAACACTAGAACCAATATTAAATAATATATTTTATATTTTCAATAAATTATTTTTAAGGACTATTTTCCTTAGTATAAGCATTTTAATAAGTAGTTAATTACTCGTTCGAATTTTAAATTAGACACATTAACTTTTTCAAAAAATATTCACTATAAATAATATAAAGTTAATGTTAGTAGTAAGATAGGGGGATTTTTGTTTGAAAAACAAAAGTTTTTATCACTATATTCTCAGTTTTTAGTTACATTTAAAAATTTCATAAAACAGAAATAATAAATAAATTCATTATTGAAGGAAATACGAAGAGGTAATTATGCTTGGTAAATCACACTAAACATATAATGATCACATATTTCTTATTATTCAATTTATATAAGTGAAGGATATTGACCTATTGCAGACTTCGACAAAGATTTTTAGCATTTATTTTTTATAATTTGTAAAAAAAATTGATTTGTGTACATCAAATATAATTTATTTTTTGAATGATATGCAAAATTATTTTTATATTTTTCTTCGTTAATTTAAATTGGATAAAAAATAATAATTGATTTAAAACGAAAATACTTACATAATTTAAATGTATCGTATTATTTATCAGTAATATATGCAAAAAAATACAACGAAAATAATTCACAGTAATAATAATTACGAAATAATGTTATTGTCAAGTAGCCGTTTACTATTTTAAATGTACTAGAATTTCCAAAACGAAGCGCCTTTTGTTGTTTATTAAGATATCGGTACTAACAGTTATATATTATATTATTGTGTCTACTTGTCTTCCTTGTTATATATTTATGACTTCAACATGCAACGATATGCATATTATTATTATTTCTGTGCGCGCCCGAAATTATATCTAAACGGTGTGGTGGAAACTCGTTCAAACTTTTCGCGCGAACGCTGGCCAAAAGTTTTCTAATAACAAATTAACAGTAGCGCACGTAGACGAACGACTTCTTGCACAAAATGATAATAATATATACATGAAGACGTTACGTAATAGATCTATCGATTGTTGAAACCAGAAAAGCGTACTACAATTATGTTTATGCTGACTTGTCCTGCATAGACTATATACTATTGACGTAAATTGACATGTAATTTTGGAAAAAAAAATGTCACCTGACGTTAAATTTCAATTGCAGAAATCACCTGATGTATATTAGTTTTTTTTAATTCAAAAGTCTATAAAACTTCTGCCTTTAAAAAAAAATGCAGCTTTTTTCATTCAGTGTTATTTTACACACTTGGTGGCAGATGATTTCAGGGACATATTATATTATAAGGATGAAAAGCTGTTTAGAATTCTCAGTTAATAGTTACTGACAATGTGTTAAAGCATATGATAAATATGTGCAAGCTTGCATAAAGAAACCTAAGAGTTATGGTACCGGAACCACAAGACTTAAGATTTTTTAGGTGTCCCTAATTTTATAATATTGTAGCTGTTACTTATTAATATGATATAAAAGATGTGTGTAAGAGAAAATACTTTATACGTTTAATTTTAAGTACAAACACAAATATTTATTTAAAAACAAAAATTTAGATTTTGAAAACAAAACACTCGATACTTCCTAATTTTACTCTTGAAACTTAATATTAGTGTAACGAGAAATTTACATATTATTATGATCTAAAAATTTGCTTTAGCAAAACCTAAAATTTATTTTTAAATTGAAAAATACGTTATTTATATTTTATTTAATATTTCACGATAATAAAAATACAATTATACTTTTATAAAGATAGTTTATTTAAAATTTTATTTTGAGGCCCCCGAAAATTTAGCCCTGAGGCTTCAAAAATCTTTTTCCTGGTTTGGATACGACGTGTATCTCGTGAGTTTACATTTTTTACCAATGTTTAAAATATTTCGGTAATTAAAATCGTGTTTGGTACGCAAAACGAAAATAAAAGTCAGCTGGAAGGCAATTAAATGTACCATAATTATATTGTCACATGTCACACATAAAACAATACGGCAGTGTTGTATAATAATACACTCGTGATAAGTTAAAAGCGTGTTTATATTAATTATCCGAACGATGTTATTTTTTATTACTATTATTTCCATTAAGTGTTATGAATAAAATTTAATGAAACTCACAAAATTCCCATCGTTCTGATACAGCCTGGTGACATTGTCGATGATATGTTGGTCGCTAAGCTCTTCGTACGGTTGTTCACGGGCGAACGTCAATATTTCCCACAACGTGACGGCAAACGACCAAACGTCACTTCTCGGCGTGTATTTGTTCTGTACGCGAAAACACGCGAATATGAAGATATTAAAATAGTATTTTTTTTATTAAAAATTGCGATAAGCTGCACTAAATTATTATAACTACGAAAAATTGGTGTTTTTCTTTCTGTTTGCTTACCAACAGTATGCTCTCCCACGACATCCAGCGGATCGGCAGCGAAGGTCTCCCTTCAAAGTCAAAATAGTCCGCTGAATAAACGCTTTTGCTCAGACTCATATTGGATACTTTGACCGTGTAATTGGGGCCGACCAAACAGTTTCTGCAAATTAAAAAAAAAAAAAAATAAATAAAAAAAAAAGATAGATGTACCTATTTGTCGTGGTTTCAAATATTCGTCCATAATATCGAATGTGTTTTTTTTTTATAAAATACCATATCATACGATAATAACAGTAGCACAATATTTTTTTATCGTTAACCAACAATGATCAGCAATGAGTTTTTATTCTATGTCAATTTTCATTATTTTTTTTATTTTTTTCAATATTGATTGGAATCATATCCATGTAGTATTATTTATACGGGCTTTAAAGTATTATTTGTTGTTTTTTTTTTTTTATAGTAACAATATTTTTTCTGAAAACTTTGATCTGCGATATTATGGTCATCATTTATTTTTATTTGAATTGATACAAAAAAAAAAAAAAAAAAATTATGCATTTTTTGTTCCGACAGATGTTCGATTTACCTTTTTTTTAAGCATGACCACGACGAATTTATTCGTCCGTGAATTTATGAATCAATGTATTAGGTGCACTTGAATATTATAATTAATTTAGAAATCCTAATTATTGGTAACTTATAATAGTTCCACGTTGGTTTTATTTTTTTTTATTCTTATTTCAAGATAATTTTACATTTTTATTATTCTATAGTGTTAAGGTGTATTATTTTTAACATGTTTGTACTGAGACATTGAGAGCATAAGTGTTGTGTGAGCTTGCGTCTGTAGGAATATTATTTTTTCTCCCGGAATGTCAAATCGATAATAGTTTTAAGATCTAAAGTTTCCTCTCACTTTCAATACTAATATTTTAATGGTAAAAATGTTATGAACAATTATTCTTGTTCTGGTCACGTATTAATATTATATGAATGCAATAAAACAAATTGTTTTGAATTCTTTTGTATTTGCATATTATTAAGAATATTTAAATTATAATTTGATTTATTAGACATATTATATAAAACGGAGTCATCCGTATGGTAAAGTTATTTATTTTTTATTATAGCTAATTTGTATTTTCAACTTTTATTATTGAAAAAAAACAAAAACTATACGTATATTTAAAAATATGATCTTTTTTTTAAAATTTTGTTTTTCTTATTACTGCCTATATTTCAGTGTTATCCATACCGCATTCTTTAGTAATTTTAAGTATAAATTAAAGTACTAAATTAATTATTTTTTTTTAATGTAATAACTTTAAATCTCTAATACTATAACATTTTAAAAATTATATCGAAATTTCGTTTTGAATTTATCATCAGAGCTTGTTTTAAATTTAATTTGATTCACGCAGTATCTACTTCGTCGTTCTTCGACTACACGCTATATTTCACGTGTACAAGATGGTAATTTTTTAATAAAATTTAACACAAAGATGAGTCGAAAGTTTTAAGTAAACTTTTACAATGTTCGTTAAAGAAATAAGATGTATCATATATATATGTATAATAACCGGAATCACTCATCAGTCATGGTACAAACGTTTCATTTTAGTGTAGACGTTGAAAATGAATTCGCCACGTTCAATAACAACTGTATACTCAAATGAGAAATAAATGTAAAAATATTCATAAAATGTTATTTTAAATGGATTATTATACCATGATAAACATATTAATCTTTTATTTTATTTTTATTTTTTAATGTCCTCGAGCAATCAACATAGCTAAACACTTAAAACTTTATTGTCTTATAATAGTTTAATGTGATACATAATTACTATTATAAATTTATCATCTAAATGCTTTGCATAAATAATTTTATTGTTTATCTGCATGTTATATTTAATGAAATATTATTCGAGCAGTGAATTATGTTAACTAAATGGTTTTCAACTGTCTGATGTGACCTATCTGATTTAGACTAAACATTATTATGGTCGTCGTTATCGATAAGCAGAAAAGAATAATTCTCGATTCTTCTCATTCTTACAACATATATATTATCTGGTTGGGTATAATTTAAATATAACGTATTTAAGGATATAAAAAACGGGAAAAGGAAAATGCTAATCTAAAGCCTAGATTCACCAAAGAAATGAAAATAAACTCTGTGGAAGCCGACAAATTGTATAATCATGTCCTATAATTTATCTCAAAGAGGTAATTTGTATGTGTTGAAAATTGTTTGTATATATTATTAACGTAAAAAGTATTCGTAAGGGTACAATAAAATAATACATTACATTAAAAATTCACTATTGGCTTATATATATACATAAATATTATTTACTTTTAATACATTTTACATGTAATTAAAAAGTCATCAGTTGTAAATAATTGCTAATAAGATTATACCATGTTCTAATCGGAATAGTTTTAAGTATAATGTATCATCTTAAATCTTTTAGGTTTCTATTTTATTAAATCATTTTCCTTTCGAATAATAAATCTAAATAAATATACAAAAAAAGAAGAATTTAAAAACTTTTATCATTGTAATATTGTTTGAAAACTGTTTAAAGAATTTCAAAAATGTTTATTTTTTTAGTTGATCCATGAAATTAATTAAAAATCCAAAAAAAAATATCTTTAAAATCGTTATCTGTAAAACCACCTTATTTTTCTTCTAAAACAATTTATTTCTACATCTCATTTATTCGCGGTACAATTTAATGAGATTAAATACTAAAATACTGTTTTTTTTTTTCACTTAATGAACACATTTGAGTATTTTAAAGATAATGGTGTCCAATATAAATGTTTTGTATATATTAGTTATATAAGTAGATTGCAAGGAGGAAACATTGGAGAACAGTAAAGTCTGCTTAAATTATCTAGATAATATTATATCTGTATTTAAATATTATTCACTAAAATATATATTTTTTAATATTTAGTGGTGTTGATGAATTTTAATTGCCAATTCAATTAATTGATTATTTTAAATTTTTCATGTAATTATTAATATAATTTTAATAAAAACAAATACCAGCGTATTAACTTAATGATATAAAATTTTGAAAGAAAACAATATTTTAGATTATAAGTGTTAAAATTAAATACTTTATGAGGTATGAAGTATTTAATTTTGTAAACATAAAATTTTATACTTTTATAATAGCTGTAGTTATAGTAATTTGTAAGTTGTAACTGTACTAAAGATTTGTGACTATAGTGTGTATTAAAAAATGTGATTATCATTTATAAATCCTATTAGTTAATATACTATTAAAGCAGATAATATTGTTTTACTATATTTGTTATTATTATCATTTATTTAAGTACTAATGTAACGAGAAACACATTCAAGTAGGTTTAATCGTTATGTTTAAACTTTAAATAATTACATTAAACGTAAAACCATACTCTGTGCAAAGCGTTAATTGCTTGTAGCTACTTATATTAATTTGACTTTTATTTCAAATTATAATTATTACTATTTATTATAATCGAGTCTTAGATAATCAGCATATATTTTACAAAATTGTACATTTGCATATAATCGTTGATATAAGAAATTAATAGACCAGTCTCGTCAACAGCAAACGATTAAATATTTTTGAGATTGTCAATTATTTTCACGTTTATTTATATTGGTTTTTCTTACCTCGCAGCCAAATCACGATGGACAAAATTTATGACCTCTAAATATTTCATCCCCGAAGCTATTTGGGTAGCCATGTGAATTAGACATCCATAGCTAGGAAAATAAATGTAAATTACTTATTAGCCATTACTCATTACTCACTAGTTATCTTGTACAAATCAAATAAAAAATATATAGTACAACCTTAAGGTTTTCGCGTATGGCGGTATGGGCGCAGCTGTCAGGGCGATGTGTTCCTGAAGAAATTGATTCAGATCACCGTGTTGCATAAATTCGGTTATTAAGCAGAATGGTTCCTCAGTAAGACAACATCCCAGTACTCTAGTGATATTTGGATCTCTGATTTTCCACAGCGATTCTACTTCGTCGTAAAAATCGTGCCTATAATAGAGAAAATAAATAATGCATTCGTGTATAGTGTGAATGTCATATCTACTTAACTAACACGATAAAGACAAAATCGTATAATATTATCATGAAATTTTACATAATATGTGATATCGAAAACAGTTTATTAAGTTCCTATTGTCGGTATGCAAAATTAGAAAACGATTGAAATATTCCAAATATTTTACTCATGACATCGTACCAATAATAAGAATAAAAACGAAGGTATGATAATTGGTATTAGTGTATGCAAGATGACTATAACACTTCCATCATAAAATTAAATTATAAAAAGAAACCGTGTAGAAATTTATAGTCTAGCAATTTTTTTTTTTTTTTTGTCGATCATAATATACTCTAAATTTATAGTAAATGTATACGTGACACACACACACATACACGCAATATTATTGTTCTCTGACGTTTTATTATTTTTTTTTTTTCAAAACTACACAAACGCGATTGTTCATAAGACAGATTTTCTACACAACATTAGTTTTTACGACCGAGTAATGGGTATATTATAATATAATAGTTTGTGTGCGTAATGGGTCTCCGCGCTATCTTCGGGGACAAACTGCTAACACCCTGCCGCGTAAAAGATTTGTTCAATTAGTCGACTGTGGCGTATAAAATCGTTGTTTACTTGGTCGATTCGGACACGCCTTTTCTCAGTGACTTAACGGTGACCAACTTGCACGTCCTATTGACTGACGACGTTGCTGCTGGCTGTAGAATTTCGTCAGGTGGCGTTTTTAACTCGCATAAATGGACCTGCGCGTAAAACAACAAATTGAAACGTTAAGACTGTGTACTCATTACTGACGGACATAATTAAATAAATAATAAATATTCTATTATAACGATTTGAGATGGAAATAATTTTTACATCGAATTGTACATCTGATTGTTTTGATTAACCGATCTGTGCAATAGAGTAGATGATATGAAAAAAATAAATAGGTAATTAAAACCACACAGTAATAATAATTTGAATCTGCGATGGTTACCCATCAACACAAAAAACAATTTTTTTCACACGATTAATCCAAAATTTTGGTAGAGTAATATGGTTGTAGTTAAGATTAGTTTCATCCCAAAAATAACTGAGTTCCTATACATTTTAATCCCTGAACATCACCACAAAACGAAGATTGTTTTAAAATGTTTGGCGTGGATTTGACCTGTCAATCGATATATACATACATAGAGTAACGATTCTATAATATTAATGTATTTTAACCATTTGTGTTTTTTTTACAAAAACCAGAGTTTTTCAAAGGATAATTTAACATACAAAGAAATTTAAACCCTTTAAATCGTTTTGTATCGATTATCAGTTTTACTATATACAAGACAGGATAGTAAAACCATTTTAATTTTGTGCTATAAGTCAATATATTGTCCACAAATTAATAATGTAGATTAAGAAAGCAAACTTAGCGTTTTTGATGTCATATCGATGGAAATTATAAAATAAAAAAGGGGTTTTCTAGTCATAGTGAATCGGGTACAAACATGTGATATTTTTAACAATTTCACAGTAAAATACGTGAAAAATTTGTGAACATTGTACTCATATATATTTAATTCAGTTAATTTTTCTTATAAAACATTTTGTAAATGAAATATGTTAATTAAAACATTCACTATATTGTGTTAGAAAAAAATCAATTTTAAACAGTTGTTGTTTATTTTTTGCTTGTGTACCATCATTTTAACAAATTATGAAAATACTTTTGTACCCACATTTAATCCTTTAATTTGGATATTTAAATACTTAACTGACAAATAATGTTTTGTGTATTATATTATTTATTTTTTCTAGGTTTGACTATAATTTAGGAAAAAACATTCAAATAACAGAATTTTTTATTTATTATAATGAAACCGCTATTATAATATTATTCAACTGTGATTATTTCTTTTTATTGACTTTTATACCTATGTTTTTTATACATTGTTTATATAATATATTTTATCATGCGTATTGTTACTTGCCTCTCCAAAATGCGTTTTGGTCAGTGTTTGGACGACGCCCAGGTATTCCCGGGGAATTTCTGGCGGTAACTGACAAAGCGTGTCGTCGGACCTGGTCAGTGGACAAGTGGACGCGTTACTGGCACCTCCTCCTCGGCTGCTGCTCGATCTGGATGAAGTGGGTGGTGGTGAACGAGGTGGCGGGGGGACGTTCACCTACGGAAAATCTTAGTGTGAGGAAAATCGAAACACTTTCCAATAAATAATAATAATAATAATATCACTCAATATTGTTTATATTATGCATTATAATCAGTTAGTTTATCGGTGGTATGGTGAGAGAAATTCCATTAAGCGAAAACAATACTAAATAACCTTAAAACATTATTGCGCATTTATACACAAAACATTTCGTTTTGGAAATAAAATATTTTGTTGTTTTAAGCTAATCTAAATAACAAGACATGGTAGTTATTATTAGTTAATGAACTAATTGGTTGATCGCGACTCATGAATAATAGCAGCTAATTTCAAAATATTATCGTTGCAGTACCTACTATAGGTACTTAGAAACTGATCACGTGGTTTTGAGTAAAATGGTGAATTTGTAAAATAATTATAGGTATTATACTCACATAATATATCACCTAAATATTAATAGATTATATACATAATCGTACAATTTGTATTGATAAATAAGATTGTTAAATAATATTCTAATTATAAATAGTAATTGTTTATTTAAAACTATTATATCACACTTAAGCGTAATTAATATTATTAGAACTTTTAGCTACATATATTTAATTTCATACTAAAAAATACAAATTTGTTATAGTTATTTTTTTTTAACTATGAAATAATTTAATATTAAACATTAATTGAACACTAAACGGTCATTAATAAACTATAAAATAAGTAAATGTTTATTAATTTGATGAACAATTCTTTAAAATTTCTAAAAATATTTACATAATTGTATTTGATTTTCAAATACAAATACATTAAAGATAATATTTAAAATACTTTCCAGGTATTGGTAAAATGTATCTCATCTAATACAAACATTATTTTTTGTTAATATTTATTGTATTTATTAGAAAACCAGCAATAAATTATTTAATATTTGTTAAAAAAATTTAATGAAGAACTAATTATATATTATTTGTAAGTTTAAAATAATTTGAGAGTTTACCTTAAAGCTTAGATTTGCATTCGGTCTATTTGCTGGAGTAATTGATACTCTGATACATTACGTTTTAAATTCAGTTCGATTTTATGCATAATAATTTATTAAAATTTCAAACATCGTAAAAAGATTAAAAATAATTTTCTCTTCACGGTCCCAAAGATCAGAAAATGTGATAGAAAACGTACATTATGGATATATCTGAATAACCTTAGTAAAGTGTAAACTCGTGGTTTTTTCGACTTTTTTTAGAATTTTTTTTTCTTATTCTAGTTTAAAAAAATATAACCTTTTTTTGATAAATTATTGTACTCGCATTTTCAATTTTCATGCATCATAGTTGAAAATACAATATTATACCAATATTCAAAACAGCTACGGTTCATTATTCGATTTTGGTTGCAAATACGTTTGACGAACAGCACAACAGTTTTTAAATTTGTTATTTAAATAATATAATATGTATAAAATAATAGCGAAGAAAAAATGTAATAATAATAATAATAATAATTAATAAATATAACATTTTTTATGTATTCCTAAAAGAGAAGTAGAAAAATTCCAGTCATATTATAAAAATGTATTTTTCTATCTTCATCCACATAAAAATTCATACTCTCGCCTTCATCAGTATCTCGATAATCATGTATTAAAGAATTTTTATCTTATCTGAATATATTGTTTTCTTATCTGAGCTAAACAGTGTTTATATTACGTGAGTATACGAGTATATACCCATTAAAGTGCAAGGATATTCAGGAATTCTGTTGGCCAAACACGGTTTTCGAGATAACCTCGCGGTATGAGTATGTTTATGTAAATTATGTTTGTTAATTATGTTAAAAATTAAAGTAAGGACCTTAATAACGCTCACATCATACGCGTACTGTATAAATATTATTATTGACGACCAAATATAATATTATGTAGGTACTTCAAACGTTTCAAACCACGTAACCACGTATATGTTATTCAAAACAGAAACGGCAGACGATGTGTTGGCATACCTATATAATAATAATAATAATAATAATAATAATAATAACGTTTGTATGTGAGCAAGCCGAATTAAGTACCATCGATCCACCGGAAAATAATACTCTTCAATATAATATCGAACGTCCGTACTCTCGTGTAACGTTTGAGTTCCAACGACCCGCGACCGTTATTAAACACACGTAGGTACTATATATGTTATATTGTGTACCCTCGGCGTTCTGTTTGTACGGTTAAGAGGTGTTTTTTTTATTTTATTATTATTTCATTTGGACACTGTGCGCAGAAAAAATCCTTAGAGTTTGTAAATATAACTGTGTAGCACAGAATAAAAATCTCGTTTCGTTATTGCTACTTTTTTTTTCTTTTTTTACAACGGACGTATATGTTTCACATACACATTCGAGTAAACAAAACGATAAACTTTTAGAAACGCTTTTTATTCAAACTAGCGGTCAATGTGTGTATAACGTGCGTTGTGTAAACGTATCATCGTGTACAAAATTTCACCATTTCCGTATAGCTGCTCAAACATAAACACACAAACTTATATAAGACAATATTATATATATATATCATTTTTGTTTTCATAACGTAAAACACGGATTCAATTATCGGGTAATATTACCCGGATCTTCTCATCCGTAATGCTATTCATTTTTAATTGAAACTCTTTAGAAATATATAATTCTATTAACAATAAACAATTCATAAGTAGTTTCCGGGAGCAAATAAATTAGTAAACTATACTTATCGATTTTATAGATTTCTATCATCTATTATGTATAATCAAATTTAAAACGATAACACGTTCCATACAATCATTAAAACATACGCGTTTGTAAGAGTGCTTTAATATTTCAAAAGGTTATTATGATTTTCATTTATTCGGAAAGATTATTAAAAGTCGAGATGAATATAACTTATAAGCATTTTTATTGAAAACATCGTTTATTTATTAAAAGAAAAAAAATCATATTTTACTAATTTTATCGTATTAAAACTGAAAAGCAATTGATGTAGAAATTAAATTTAATACTAAACTAGAAATTTTTTCCCAAAGCGATACGACAAATATTGTAGAATTACACGGATAGATTTAACACGATGTATTACTATATTAAATAACTTTGTTTTTGTTTTTTTATTTATTTTTTTTTTTTTAACTTCGGAGTTCATAAATTAAAAAAAAAACTATGTGACGAACAAAGTGAGTAAAACACGATAATACTTTAAACATGTATAGATTTTATTGGTTATTTTTATAATCGACTACGAACGCGAGTTAAAGTTCTATCGTCCTGCGGGTATCGACTAGCTCATTATCAAATTCATCCTCTCTCCCTCTCTGTCATCCGAGGACTTTTTCGCGTCGTCAGCGAACAAGCTACACAACCCCAAAACGTCAACGGAAATTCTTTTTCCATGCACGACCCCATCACGGGTCCTCGGACGACACGTGTTCCACATACTTGAATGTACGCGTAAGGTATCGTCTATAACGAGACGCATCAAAATTTATTCCCTAACACCATGGCCAATATCTTTATCGTCTTGTTTACGTATATATATACGACATGTTATTATTATTATTGTCGATATGCTCGGTAATCGTTTGCAGAGCCGACGGATGGGCGCATATCCGTGTACATGGACTACATGCTGCAATATTATTTTCATTATTATTATCGCCAATATGGGGGCCGGTAACCGCTAGAATAGGGGTGAAAAATTTTTCTAACGTGACGTGATAAAAGTCGTATGATTTTCTTTTTTTCTTTTTTGCTTCTCGCGTGCTATTAAATTATAAAAGTAAATAAATAAGAAAAAAATGCGTTTATTTAAATGTATTTATTGTATTTTGTTAGTAAACAAAATATAAGATATTTAGTATAAGTAATTTTACTATTTAACATTATACTTTAGTATATTTTATTAGTTTGTTTGATCTGAATTACTTTTCTATCGTTATACACTCGATGCTAATTCTTTTATAGTCGGTTTCATTGAACAGATTTTATGAAATTTTTTTCCGAAGATTGGCTCGCAAAAATTATTTGAAGAAAATATTGACAAAATATATGCAAAATATTTAACCAATGCTTCTATCTTAAAAGTATTAGTTTCTGGAATAGCATTCCAGACTTTCAAAACCTTATTCCCAGTATTTTCGAACAAACTGTCTACTGCTACATCAGGCAAATATTCGTTTCATAGTAAAACAAAAAAATGAAAAAGTATTTAAATTGTGATCTCATTATTAATTATTAAAAATAAAATAGAAAATTATAAAATAAAATGTGATAAAATATTTTTATTTTTCACGTGCCTTTAACATTTTTTCGACTGCTATTTCAGGAACGTGTGCTACGGATTTACCATCGCTTCATTAAAGGAACCGACAGATGCCAGTATATTTATTTATGTTTCTGATTTTCAATGCATTTGACGCGGCGTGACGGTATTTGTCTCGTCGTGGGTACTATTGTCTTTCTGTGTATTATTTTTTTTATATTATATATATATATATATTTATTTATTTGGCTGAGTTTTACGCTGGTCTGATTTTTCTCGGTTATAAATTACCTGTTTATAATCAATATACTTAATTTTTTGTACCTATCTTCTTGTAGAAGGAATTTTTGTTATTATTATTGTTGAAAAGAAAAATCTTGTGAGTTTCAGTTTTTTAACCTAAGCTGTGGATTGTTAACCCTTTAAAAAATCTTATCGTCAAAAAATACTCCACGTGTAATATAATAAATATTACAATAATGAAAACATATATAATCAAGTCGATGAATAAATTGTGAAAAAACGTAGTATTTATTATATTAATCATGAGTTAAATTAAAAATGAATTTAAATACTAAAAACGAATTTAAAAAAATAAAAAAAATCTAATAATTAATACAGTTAATAAAAAAAAATAAAAAATCGATTACAAAGTAAAGAAAGAGAGTTGTCTGGGATTTATTCAATCGTTTTTCTTAAATTATTTACTGCGGAATCACGATCGGTCGCGTAATGCTGTATAAATACGAATAATTTCCCAGCACCATTGCGTTCGGAAAACAAACAAATATTCAGCAGAAAAAATGGAGTTGTAAAGACACGAAAAAAAAAAAAAGAAAAAATAATAAGAATAAAAAAAAATTGCTTTCGTATAATTATTTGAAAAATATTGTCTCGGTGGTCATCTCGTCCCGTTGTTAGTAGAACGAAACAAATCCGAAATAAAACATACACATCCGGTCGGAAATGAATAACTACGAAATGCAATACATACAATTCATATAAAATTACACAGTATTAGCAAGAACACTTGTAATCGTGTTTTCTTTCATTATTTATATTATTCGAGATCGAGATCGACCAATTAAGGTACGCAAGAGGGGTCGGAGATACTCAATACTCAAAGGGGTCATGTAATACTGTGTGCACGTTATTTGAGTATTATATTTTATAATAAGAGGGCAGCGGCGTGCACTTATTGCGTGTCATTCGCGATTTACATTAATAATAATCGTTTATAATATAAATTATGAGACTAAACTTTTAATACACGCGAGAAAAGAGAATTGCATCTAACTAACTATGCTTTTTTGAATACGATTAACAGCTTCCTCCGCGTTTGCCGTGTATTAAAGATTTTATTATTTTAAATTAATATTTTATTATTATGTAATTATGAAAATTTAAAACAAAAAACGTAATCGGTTACTGCGACAAATACTTGTCGCCCAGTACCTGTTAACTTTATATTGATATACGACTTTAACTTATCATCTCATGGAGATGGCATCGACCATCGTCATAAATTTTAGCGAGCCAAAATTAAAAAAACTACATAAGTCAAATCTGGTGCTTGCTATTTTACTTAAACTGTACTTTAAAAGTAATTATTCATCACTATTGCATATTTTGTAATTTGCTTTGACATGAAAATTATGGCTTTGAGAATAATCAAATCACACACAGTAATTTGTTTGCAGTATTCCTAAAGCGTGTATTTATTATTTTTATTTTTTATTATGTATCCATCTGTTTTCCTCCCTTTCTTGCAGATTGTCTACTATCTCTCTATTCTTTCCCCTATACAATATTGAACGGTAAATTATATTCAGCGCATATGATAGGGTAAGCATTTTGGAGTGTCAAATTCTAAATCTGATATTGGTGGTGATGGTGGTGGTGGAGGCAACAGTAAATGTTTGCGTTAACCGTTCATTTTCGATTATTCGAATTATCCAGTACAATATTGACAACGCGCCATGGGCAATATTAGATTACACGAAGCCATTAGCTTGTGCCGACCCCATTCTCTCAATATATTTCGGTCAGTGTGCACATGCGCGTGCGCTTGTTTAATAACAGTGTGTGACATGAATATAGCGTTAGGACTTGAATGGGGCAGGAGAACTCGTAATCGTATAATACTACGCGTAGTATAGTATACTGCTTACGACCCGGAAAATGACTAAACCTTCATCCTAATGTCCTACTACGGACGTAAAAAATACACACTAACACACACTCACTTACCCATACGCCAGTGATATATATATATATATATATATATGTGTGTGTGTGTATACACAGTACACAACGGTCCTCACCACCGAATGTTAATAGGAAAATATTGTCTCTGCGACGATGGCTTAACCGGAATCGTGATTGATATCCGTCGAAATTGCGTTTACGCACACACACATATTATACGCATACACTTATACATGTATACGTCACTTATACAGCGTACAGCGAAACTATAACGGTCCGATTTGGATCGATAGACGGACTTGGAATGGAATCCTTCGAGGGACCTCTGTAAGCGTAGGTAGCGCATATTGTTCATAGAGTATATGTCAGTATTCATTATCCTGTCTCACGGTCTCCTCCCTATACTTCCATATAGTATGATAGACTATTTGATATGACAATCTTATGTTATATTATGACTTGAAACTGGAAATCATTCGTACGCAATAGAAGTTAATGAGCGCGTTTATTATTGATATTATTTTAATATCCCTTTGTTAGCGCTTTATATACAACCCGTATTCGTCAAAAAACTGTCGCCTCGTCCATACCTCTAAATAATTCACAACATTATCACGTGATTTGATTGTTTTATTTGGCAGAATTGTAGAAACAACAATATGTGAAGCACGAATAATGTAAAAATATTGAATTCAGAAAACCATAGTAATTTTATACGGTTTGAAAACGTGGCAATAACTTTTAGTCACGTCGTCTCTGGCGGGGTGCAGGGGAAATACATATTTTATAATATTTTAAATAGAGGTCTCATTATTTGGAGTCTCGGGGCACTAATGCGTTCTGTTAAATTCGACCCCGGGGACACGAGCTATTTGTCAACGCGTTGGTATAATAGCCTACATGCGCGCTGGTGTTTATTATTTTGCGTTCTCGCGGTCGATCTGGTGAGATAATAATATTTATATTATCGGCCTATGCCGATGTTATTGGGACAGTCGCGGAAATTACAATAACACTGATAGAATAATCTTTTTTAATATATAAATTTAGCAATAATAGAAATAATAGCAATAGTGCATAATGTAATAATAATCTATATATAATATTTATGTATCTACTTGGCAAATATCCGAAGCGGCGTAATACTTTTCCAACGTCTGGTGATGGCGCGACAACGTGTCGTCATGTACGGACATCTGACTTTTGTGCAGCGTCAACGTTTTGGACGCCGACCGTCGAACGTGTGGTATGGCGTATTCTTCCTGGGCGACGATGTCTCGAACATCTGTAAGACATTTTCCAATCTAATTAATATCATCTTTTAACTATAATGTAAAAACTCGTTCGAACGATTAACACTTGTCGATTAATAATAAATGCGCGAATTATTCGTTTATGAAAGAATAATAATATAATCTTATTTGAATGGCAATATATATTGATTAATTGAATTATTTTTATTTCATACAAATCATTATGCACGTTTTTTTCAACGACATAACCAGTAATCAAATCGCAACGATATGGACGTCACTTATTTCTTATACACTCAAAACCCTTTTAGTGGTAAAAGTGGCTTGAACTTAAGTCAATAAATTTTTTTTTTTTTATTAAAAGTTTCCTATACATTTTATATTTTAATAAAAATAAATTGGGATTTCATTGAAGTACTTTTATGCAATAAAGTGAAAACGTTCAACTTTTCTATACAATTTACCCAGTCAATGATGTCTGCACACGCCTGATGTCTAGAAAATATTTAATTTAAAATCAATTCACTCACGATGAAAAAAAAACTATATCGATTTCAATTAAGCTTACATTGTTTGTAGAAAAAATATTTTTAGAGTATCAAATTATATGATATTTTTGTACACAAGCCCGCATTAAATCTTAAATTTGACGCAAAAGTTGCTACTATACCTACTTACTGTTACCGTAAGTCGTGGTAGTATTATATATTAAATTTCCAATAGAAATATATATTAAGTCAAGTTCAATTTTTTTCGGTAAAAAATGTTAAAATCAAATTATTTTAATGGTGTGTATATATTTTTAACGAAATATTATTAACAAATAACAATATTTGTGTAGGCTAAGTGGAATTTTTGTTTTATAAAACAATAATATTTCATAAATTCCTTGGGATTTATCGTGCTACTGTTAAGCATTGTACGACTGTATGAGTCACGTATTACACTGTGTATACATAAAGTTTAAACGAATACAAATACAAATACAAAAACAAAAAAAAAAAATACCACCCAATACGGTATTGTTGAGGAACGTTAAAATTTTTATTAAAATCCGAGTCACTTTGCCGTCACGACGTTGCCGGGTGACTATTGTAGGCCCGAGAAACTGTAGTAGTTTCTAGGAAGGTATATTATATAATATATATATATATATATTTTCCCGACAGAAAAATGTGTGCATAACAATTTTAATGAAATTTATTTTACTCCCTTACACGCCTTATCCATCTAATCACGACACATTTCCACGCAAACTGTATAGGCGCGGCGTAAAAAATACAAAATAATAACGAATAAAAATAAAAATAAACTACCCGGTCTTTATTGCGTTCTGGTGCTTGAGCAATATCAATAACAACTACTACTACTATTATTATACCAGAGTCGCGCGAGTACGTTTTGTCCATTTTACCGACGACAATATTGTCTCTTGTATACGTATAATATTATGTATTATCGTGTTTATATAATATACATGCGCGTTGTATAGAAAAGGGAATATGCCACGACCTAAACATTAGCTATATACTATTTTATATTGTATGTAATATACATCCTCTATAATATATCGTATCTATCTGACATGAAATGAGAAAAAAAATAACCCACACCCAGGGGATGAAAATGCTGATTTGAGGCACGGTGTATATTTGTGATTTTTTCTGGATACGGTCCAAAACGGTTTCACACGTTTTTATTTCGCTCTCGGGTGATATTATAAAATACGTATACACTATATGTACGTGTAATAAGAATATCATGTAATATATTTCTAAAGACTAAATTAATACCTACTCAGAGCACACGATAAATGTTTTAACTTTTAGGCAATATGCATACATTTAATAATTATATGTACGATATACACAAAATAAAGTAAATAAATTACTAAACATACTAAACTATTTATTTTTTTTCACAGCTCTTATCACAGGAGTCAATTTTTTTTTTTTGCTTTTTACTATGTTTTTAATCCTTCAAGTTATTGGATAATTTTTAAATGTACAAATATACAAAAAATTAGTCGAGTAAGTGAAACATTTTTGAAATCTTTCTTTACTACACTAAAAAAAAAAAAAAAAAAAATTAATGTGTTCTTACCGTTTAAATATCTTACTCGATAAACTTTAAGTTTTTGAAAAAAATTATTTCGAGTTAAAAGTTTTAAATTCATTAAGAATTAACTGGTGCATTACTCCATCATGACTACTCTGTCGACTGCCAGACAGCTGAATACTGCGCGCATTACTAATATGCATTATTATGGATAAAGGCTAAATATACCATACACCATCTTGTCACTCATGCACTTACCCGTGTAATCAGGACTTAAAAGTACCGATGGTCGGCGTGCTATGCCGTATGGTCTTTGGTAATTGCTATTGCTCTTGTCCGAGTCGTCGTCCAAGTCTACTTGACCGTATACGTGTCCATTGGCGTTCACTCGTACCGGTAGTTCCTGCGAAAATAATTTACGTATAAAATTAACATAACTATACATTTATAACAGCATCGTACACATATACATACGTATCATCGTATACAGTTAATATATGTGTAGGTTGTTTGCATATTATTATTAATTGTTATTATACAGTGCACGTTTTTTCGCTCTTACAAACAGGGACATTGGCATAATGGAATAGTATTATTTATTGATTATATTTTACACAGATTCTTTTTATGCATCAATAATAACCATCAATAACATAATATTATTCACTAATATACAATTATTGTATGCATAAGAAATCAAACTAAAATAATTAAGGTTTTTATTATTTAAATGTACTTCCATATAACTCGATTAGTTTTTTTGTAAATGCATTGCATGCAGTTATTATCCTATGTAATATTAAATGCTTCTAATCGTATCCCCGTACGTATAAACTGAAAAAAAATAAATTACTTTTTTTATAACTTATTAACTTAAGATCAGGCAAGTTAAGTATTTGAACATTAAAAAAGTTAAATAATACAAAAACAATGCAATATACTATGTTTTATTTTTATTGTGTAAATGTGTCTTCAATTTAAAAATCTGTACCTGCATAACTAAAATATTCATGAAATCATATTTTCTATATGGTTCTGCATAAATATTTTTTTCAGTTCTTAGTACTAGTCAACATTTTCCTTATAACGTCAAGACGTATTAAAACTAAATCATATATAAAATCACAAGTGTGTAAAATTTCTCAATCACGATTGTATAAATATTATAAATATGTTTTTGTATTTGACATAGATTTATGAATAGTACATAAACGTATGGATAGAAGGACGGTAGTAATGTTTTAACCGTAAATATTGAAACTTCTTTAAAAGTTAGTTTTTATCTTTATACTTTAAACTTAATATTTAAAGCTATTACAGGTTTATCAACTTGCTGAATTTGTCTTCAGGCCTATTTTAACTTTTGTTACTATATAGTTCCAATTACTGTTGATTGAATTCAATTATAATATTATTGACAATTTATTTACCTTTAAATTCTTCTAGAGGTATCATTGTATTTTAGTGGCATCAATGAAATTAAATATATCTCAAACGTAAATTCAAATAATAAAGTCAGTTACTATTTAAATTCGCAATTAACATTTCATGAATTTAAATACCTATTGTTAAAATTAATAAGACCTATATCTTTGTGTATTTTATTATAATAATGTTAATGAACAATATTTCTGATATATAATGATCATTGGGCTTAAAATATTAGTTTAATGGTTAGAGTTGAAGCTTCAATATAAATTTCTTTCGTCTTGTTCGTATTTTTTTCTCCAAAATACATTAAAATTAAGGTAGAAACATAAAATAATTGTGAACTGACTAGTTTTTAGCCACACAGTAAAAATCTAAAAGACTAATACCTTGAAGCAATAAATATAAGGCGAAGTAGATAACCACTGTGTGTTGTTGAGTGTAACTTGCTATTGGGAAGTAAGTCACTTAACAAATGATTAAATTTGAATACAATGATACATCATTATTTACAAGAACGATTCTGAGCAAATACCGTCTGTTGGTCTATATTTTATAAACTATTTGTATTATTATTAAAGAAATTTACCTTACTATAAATATAATTGAATTTATTTTAAACTAAAATATTTAATTTAAAAACGTCATTGTGTGTTTAAAATATAAATATATAAATTAAAAGTTTCAAGTACTCACGATGAATATTTTTAAATTACAATAAACTAACTTGAATCGTTATTTTTCGTTTAAATATCTAATTTTGTTTAAATTCTAATTTCAAATGGTCTAAAAAAAATATTGTAATTATAAACTGTTTTGATTTTTTAGTTTCAGTTATCTACTCATCAAAAGTATTGTATTAAATATTCTAATTTTAGCAATAAAAATTAAATATTCTGTAAATTTTTAATTACAAAATTATTTTTATATGTTTGTAGTTTTAACAAATTATTTACCTTATTTTTCCCCCATAATAATAGCAATTGTTTTAAAAATTCTAGACATTTTTTTGACCCTCAAATTAACAACTAAGCTCAATACTTTAATAAAAATCTTTCTAAATTTGAATATCTAAACATTTTTTTTTTTACGAAAAAAACACATTACATTGTGAAATTAATACATTTATTGCTTTAATCAAAATTTAAAATTAAATTTTGAATTTTTTATAAAAGTACTAATTAATTATACACCGATCATTGACTATGCTGGTAAAAAAAATATAATGCTGTGAAAAAGTCTATAGTTAATTAGCATTCCGATGGGTCTTTAAATTTAAATTTCTAAAATTTACTAAAAAAAACTTGTAAATACCTAGTACCCACGTAATAATATAATATGATAACACTATGTATACACCAAGACTTGATAAGTTACTGATTTTTTTTAGTTTACCGAAACTAAATTCAAACTTTTTAACTAAATTAATTAAATGTTAATTAAAACTTTGTATACATATATGTTAGGATTAATAAATAAAGTGTCAGAAAATGTGGTTCCCCGTAATACAAGGCAAAAAGCTGTATACCATTGTAAAAGCAATACTTTCTTCACTCTACGTAAAATGTAAAAGTAAATAATTTGTTAACTAAAATTCAAGTGTTTTGTAAAATTATTAAAAATATTACTGAACCAGCAGTCACAAAATAAAAAAAATATTAATTAACTAACTAATTAAATTTGTTTATAGTTATAAAAAATAAAGTTATTAATGTAAAATTGATTAAGTGTAACGATTTATATTTTACAGCGCATAAGTAATTATCACCTTTATATATTGTGTTTTTAATTCAATTTAAAAGATTTAAGTTTGTTTGTCAGAGCAGAGTTGATAAATCATAACAACATTTTAAATGATTCTTAACATTTAAATTATTTTCACTTTAGTAAAATTAATAATAAGAGCTTAAAATCACTAAGTATTGTAAAGCTAATATTATTTTATAAACTTACTGATTCCGCTGAAATGTACCGAATTAAAAAAAAAAAAAAAATGAATAACTAATCAATTGCAAAACATGCACGCAAATAAACAAGAACTTAGGTCGTTTGGTTATCATTTTTTTATAAAATGTTCAAGAACAGATCTAATAATACATATATATTTTTTTAATTAAATTATATTTACAATCTATTTTTACATAAAAATAAAGTTACATAATAAATGAAAAAATTGTACATACGATACGAATGGTACGAAGAGATAATTTAATTATAAAACAGTTTTAATAACTACTGTTTTAAATTTTAAATTTTAAATCATTACTTTTGTTTATATTGAAATAAAACTATAATACAACAACATACGTACAGCTTTTATTGAATAGATACCATTGGTTATAATATAAAATGAAATTATTAAACCACATTCCAACTGTTTCGGTTATATTTTGTTTGTTTTTGAAAACGGTTTGTTTCTGTGTATATTTATTTTTTTCAAAACCAATATTATAATTGAAAACAATGACAACGAATACTCTTTTAAAATAAATATACTCAATAATTAATAAGACAAAACATCATCACAGCGCTTTAAAAAAAAAAAAAATCCAATAGGGCTTCATCCAGTGAACATTATTCATTTACATTTAAATTTAATATAATAGGTATACCTATATTTGCGTTATAATAATATTATGCATTTTAAATTAAATTATATAATAAAATGTATGTATAACATTATTGTTGGAAGTGTAACACGTAGTGTATATCCATCGGCCACCATTAGTATATCAAGATAATTATAATGAGGAGTACAATTGTATGTGTATATTAATTATTAAATATGATATATTTTGTGAATTAAACGTAGGTATAAATATAGGTACATGAAAAATTGACAAACATTTTTATTTAAAATGATACATTATTATTTATTTATGATAGTATAACAGCAAATTGTTTTATTACAATTTATCAGGTATGTAATATTTATAAAGTAATTGATCATTTAAGCCAATTAAAAAATGAATTTATTAAATACTATTGAAATTTTGTTTGTAAAATTTTGAAAATCTGTTAATATTGTCATTAATATGTCCATTTCTTTATTGTACATGAACTAAATTCTCAAAAATATTATGTATTGTCCCATTCTCGAGCGCAACCGCCTTTTCAATTACATAAATAAAATCAAGCACTAATGTAATTTTAAGAATGCATGTTTAAAAAAAAATAGTGTTCAATATTTTTATTTTAACAATACAATATAAAAAAAAAAAAAAATATATTAATATTTATTTTACAAATCAAACATTTAAATCAAAACATTGAAATGTCCAGAATTATTTAATATATTATCATTTAATTATTTTTAGAAGTCAATAGTATAGATTTGAAATCTTACTATACATTATTAAATGATTAATAATTATGATATTATGTAACTATTACTATTCAAAATACTATTATAGAATTATAAAAATATTTTTTTTATGTCTCACACAAAATTTATAGGTAAAAAAAATGTATACTGTGGGACACGGGGGAATGCCCACTTTACAATATGTACGTAACTGATACCCGGGTGTTTTAATATACGAAATTACGATACCCACAAGATTTCGCAAACAAGAGCCCCGTAAATAAAACTTACGGTATTTGGGTCGGCAAATAAAAGTAATTTAAATCAAATACATCCGACATTTATGTACTTTTATTTATTATTATTTTTGCAATACGTAAATAGTTTCTATAGGTAATACCATTGATTAATAAAACTTGTATTATTAATCTAATATGGTAATACCTATACTATTATACATATTATAAGCTGCAATCTATAGCGAGTAATTCGTTGTATAGCGGGTTAATTATTGGCGTGTTTGTGCCAAGTCGTTTGGCTATACAACTGATACAGCAGCTGTATTTTTATTTTTTAGTAAATTTTATGTTTTAAGACATTTTTTTTTTATTTAACTTAATTAAAAATCAAAATTATTCACAACATACAATTTTTAACTAAGTATTTAATCG